TTTTACTATCATATTCACAAGTTGGATTGCACACATTGTTAAGAATACTTGGCTCCTACTGTCATAATAATTCTCTAATCATTAATAAATGAAAGTAAAAAATTATGGTCTTTGGAAAACAACATCATAACCATAGACGGCTATTAGATGGTGAGACAATAGAGCAAGTTAATACCTTCCCTTATCTAGGGGTAGTCTTCTCTGAGACCGGATCTTGGCTTTCTCATCATCAAAGAACCTCACTTAGAGCAAGGGCACGTATGAACTTACTGCTCAAATTAATAAATCATAGCTATCCAGGCTCCTTAGCCCCAATTATCAAAGAATACAATGCCAAGGATACTCCTGTGCTCCTACATGGCACTGAAGTTTGGGGCTTGTTAGAACAGACAAAATAGCACCCACCCCAAGGATGTCCAATTCAAGTGCTCAGAAGAAGCCACTTCAAAGCAAGAGTGGGAGAGAAGGACCTTCCCCAGAACCTTACTCTGTAGCTGAGCCCAGGATGAAAATATCTTTCATTTTCTCTTTTTCCCCATAGTGTTTTTGGCCGTGAGAGAAGGGTTTGGCAGATAGTCCTACAGGGAAAACAATAAGTGGGGTGAACGGCTTTTGGATTATGGGGCAAAGGTGCTACAAGAGATGGACGTGCTGGAATAGACCATAGTTTTTATATCAATTTCCTGAGAAACATGTTTATTCTTGCTATTTTGATTATGTGCCATCAAGTCCTTGTCAATTCTTAGTGACCACATAGATTTTCTCCATGACAATCTATCTGTAACCTGGTCTTTCAGGTCTTCCAACGTTGCCCCAATCACCACTGTAACTGAGTCCATCCACTTTGCTGCTGGCTGCCCTCTTTTTTTTCCTTCCCCTTTCCCCAACATGACAGATGCAGAGCTAGGTCTTTACATAATGTATCCGAAATAGGATTATTTGTGCCTCAAGTGATTGCATGATCTATTTGTCTGTTTTATTCTTGCTACAGCATTTTCTTTTTAATAAACAGTTACTGAAGTCTTTGGACTTCCTCCAAAGAGTATCTGGGGTCCCCAGGGTCTCTGCAGGGAGAGCTTGGTGGGGGTCCCCTCTGCTCTTCCAGCCCATGGACTAGCTGCTCTCTTCCTACCTTAGAAGCCTTTAAAAATGGGGGGGTTTCAGCACGCCTTTGGGGACAGAAGCACAAGTAGTGAAAGTTACCCAGGGCATTCCAGTGATGCATGCTGTTATATTTAAGCTATGAAAACATGAAAAATGATCAAAACATTTCATTTACACAAAATTTATTCATTCATACAAACGTTGCTGTGTTTAAGAAGTCATGACTTATGAAAGGGATGCTCACTGTCCCCTTTAATTTGTAACTTGATTCGTGAACTTTCTAGTCCTTTTTATTAGACAATCACAAGATATTACAGGGGCTATAACAGTGAACACCCAAGATTTTCTTAAATTTCAATAATATTTTGGCTAACTTATTTAACACCAAAGCTGTGCAACCATATGGTTTATATTCTAGACATGCCATTAATTGGAAAAAATCTAAATTTGCTTCTCTTAGGAACAGAAGTATCCATTAATTACTGTAAGGAACTTGATATTTTTCCTGGACAGTATAAAATATTTCGGCTATATTTCTCTTGAGATATATCTCAGTATGTTGAATTTAATGCAGTTATTGTAATGAAAATGAATCTAACCTCTTGACCAATACACTGAGTAGTTCTGATGTAATTCCATTTACTCAAAACAAGAGGGAGAGAATTTCCATGTCAGCAAAAGTGCATTAGAAACATTGTTGAGAAAATATTTATGACAAGAAAATGTTTACGACCCTTCTTTGGCCAAAATGTCTTGTGATGATGGTGGATTTAAACCACCAGATTTTCAACTTTGTCATCAGGATTTTGTTTCAGCGTTGATATTCAGGGGTATGGAGTGACGGGGAGTAAAAAAGAAGTCAGTAGGATGATTGCAACGGCGCAATCAAAGAGCTGCTAGTTTTGTATTTGTGTTGATGTCTGTGTATGAAGAAGTGAGGCTTCAATCACATCATAACCAGCTTAACTTAATGGTCCAGCTACAACCATCTATTCTGCTGGAGACCTACAAGCCAAGCTCCCGGTTGAGTTTCTTCTCTAGGGCAAACTGGACTCCACAAATATCTGTTCCCTAACTGGCTTATTCTACAACTGAGGACAAATCCCCGGGCTGTATGGCTCAAAGACGCAGTGTAAGCAAATTAGGATAATTAATCAATTAAAAGGTGGCCTTTCTCTGAGGTGTCTACTATATGCTGAAATAGTCTCATGGTAAGGTCATAGAAGGATCTTAATATTCTTTTGACGTCTTAACCATTGCTTTGTTAAAAATAGGATATTCCAACCCTTTGTTCTGATATTCTTGTAAATAACAGCAAAACAAAAACCCCAATATCTACTTCGTCTCATCCTTTAGTTGTCTCCAAAGAAAATACCATGGATTTGGAATCAACCCAAGCATGTTTCAATGCTAATAATAATTCAGGCATTTTAGGTGCTGCTAACACATCTGGATCAAATTGTGAAATCAAAAGATGTTTTAATTGACTAGTTTTAGACATCCAAATTACTTATTTCAGCTTCTGATCCAAATAAATTGTCATGGCCAGCTCAGATGAAGAGGAATCACAGGAGGGTCATCAGTCTGAGGGGATTCAGCTGGAAGTCACTGTTGCCTAGCAACCAGGAGAGGCAACCATCACTGGCCTCAGAAGATGGAGAGGCAGAGCTAACACCTCCCTGCAATGCAAGGAACCGCCACAAAGAGAGGAGGGCTGAACAAAGGCGCTCAGCAAGACTATTGGCCAGAAAGAACCCTGCCCCACCAAAGGAACAATTCCGGGTCACGCCACCCTATATAAGAAGAGCTGCGAGCCTCACAGGCCTGTGGGTAGCAACTTTGCCTTGGTCTCACTGTTGTGTTCCATTCTTTAGCTTGCCTTCTCAAGTAATGACCCTGAAACCTCTTACCATGTTTGACCCTCTAGTACCTTGTTTACAATTTGAACTCTCTCTTGCCTGTAATTTAAGCTGGTTGAGTTTTTTGTAGACTGGGTATTTTGGGCATGAGGGACTATGATTGATTGTTCAAACCTTTTTGCCATTAGAGTTCTGTTTGAAAACCTTTTTAGTAAAGATATAAGACTTACCTGCGTGTCTGTGATTTCCACGGGCCAGAAAAGGATATTAATATCTTAGGAACCTCCCATAATTCCCACTCCATTAATAAATATGGAACATTGGAGGCAGCAATAAATTCAGAACAAAAATCTCTAGCTAGCAAATGCCTGAGTTTCCAGAAAGGCCTTGGGAGGAAGTTAAACTCAGTTTCACGTTCCATCAAAACTGCTTCAGCTGACCAAAAGTAATCCAAGGCAACTGCAGAGATGTTTTATGGGAGCTTTATGCTATATTTAACTGTGCTGTTTCTGCTGACGTAATGCCTTTGGCTATAGGAAACTACAGAGAAAAGTGGATATGCTATTAGAGAAGCATCTGCCCTAAGCAATGTCCTTGTTTCCCATAAATATGAGGAACTGGACTGCATTTACAGGAAACAGTGCACATGTTGGGCAGAATGCTTATTCCCATAAGAAAGATCACCAAAACAAACCACAACTGGAACTGTCAACAGAGCCTACATAGGTTAGAGGTGATCTGCGTGTGTGCATATGTAATCCTTCAACAGTTAACCTCAAGAGTACCCAAAACTGACCTTAGATGGCTTTTGAGAAAATAAGCTAAGCAGACTACATCTGTTCCAAACATTGATGTGATCCAGCTTGTGGGTCATATGATATAATTAAGATGGGAGGATCAAACCATATAAATAGAGGAGCTATAAAAAAAGCTGCAGCAATTCTCTGTGGTTGGGTCTTTATCTGGGTCTGAAAGAAAGGGCCACTACACAGCCCTCACTGGAAGCCGCCTTCTCCCTCTGCCCCAAAAAACAGTTTACAAAGCATTCCTGAACAATGGTTTGTCCTTAATATAAGCCTTCTCTGAATGAACACATGAAAAACAGCTTATACCCAATATTTTAACAACAGACAATACTTTAATGCAATCGTATGACTTCAGCAAGACAACACAGAGACCATGAAAGAAGGCAAACCAAACCAGATGGGAGGCTCAGCTCTTCATCAATTCCCAACAGACTCCCAATACATAAGAAACATTCACAAAACTTGACCACAACTAACAGATCAAGGGATTGTCTTCTGTGTATTCCAGCTATGTCAGCATAACAGCAAATAATGTCATTCTGCCAGGTCTGATATTGTGGTTTTGTTGGGCAGCTTGATGAACAGGTTGATTGATGAGAATGTTATTTCGCTAGGTGTAAAGGACCCCCAAACGGGCCAAGATTTCAGATTCTCCTTAGCTGTTCTCGCTTTTCTTCCTTTGATGTCTTGCAGGGACAGAAGTGGGGGGGGGGGGGAATCAGTGCTGCAAGGGACCTTCAGAGGCCATCCAATCCCCCTTTTGTAACAGGGAAGGCAATTTCAATTTTTCAATGAAAATAGGCCTGGAATCCAAGTGTTATCACTGCAAATCAACAGGCACTCAACTGAGCAGCAAGCTCAAGGATTCAGGTAATATTTCTCTCCTGGGGTTTATTCAAAATTGTAATCAATTGTTGTAAATTGTTTTTCTTTTCCCCAAACATAGAAAATTGGAATATGGATGGGATCTCTCCTGCAGGGGATTTGTCCCCTGGATTCCTTGGGGTTATATGATGTGATGCTGTGAAGTGCATATGGTTTTTGTTACTGAAATTGGGAGCCAACTAAGGCAGCAAATAAACTGAGGGAATAAATAAAATAATACAAGACTCTATATACCAGCCTTGTTTAGAACCAGGGTGATTTCCATGTGCCTCCAGAACCCTCCCTGGGTGTTCACCGGCCCTTCTACCCAACCCTGAAGTTTTAATTTTAATATTTTAATCTTAAAAAATAGAGATTCAGCCTGCTGCCATGCAAAGCGCCAACTTCCAGCATCATACCAAATTGGGGCTTTATAGCTGGTTATGCTGTCCCCATTGGCATGTACCTAATGAACATGCAAGCCCCCCCAGCAGCCATTTTGTGAGTGCACCAGCAAGATGTTCCCAACATTCCAGCTGTGTCATGAAGGCAGAGAGTTTGAGGCTCGAGGTTGAGGGGCTTTTGTGCAGCTCCATCTGGTGCATTGGTTTGGAGCAGGAGGACCTTGCCCTGGTAGCTTGTGCTCTTATCGTCACCCATCTGGATTACTGCAATGCACTCTACATGGGGCTTCCCTTGAAGACCACTTGAAAACTGCAGTTGGTACAAAAGGTAGCAATCCATCTATTCCCTAAGCAAATACACTATAATTATATCTTACCCATTTGGCAGTCACTGCACTTCTTGGTGTTTCTCGATGCAGCTCAAAGGACTGGTTTTGACTGTTTTTTCTTTAAAGCCTTCAACTTAGATCAGTGTTTCTCAACCTTGGCAACTTGAATCCTGTGAATTCTGGGAGTTGGTGTCCCCACGTCTTCAAGAGTTCTGGGAGTTGAAGTCTACACGTCTTCAAGTTGCCAAGGTTGAGAAACACTGAGTCAGACTATCCCAGCTTCTCCACATTTTTTTTCTTTTTTTTTGACTTCCGCCCTTTATTACACAGCCTCCTTCAGTTTGTTGACCTTCCAGAAACTATTAAGATGGACCTGTCCCAAGAGGCTTCTGGGATGAATGTTTGTTATTGTACCTACTTTTTAAAACTGGTTTGGATTTTTCTCAGTTTTTCTGATTTTATTTCATTTTTATTTTATTCCTTCCTTCCCTCCTTCAATTTATATGGGTTTCGAATTCAAAACAACTCTGGTTAACTTATAACAAATTTGAAACTAGACACCAACCTCAAACATAAAAAACAAAACAATTAGCAACCGAGGATAATCACTCAGCTCCATAAAACACTTCCTAAAACATCTCTTTGAGTCAGACTCACTCAACACCCATGGCCAACACCTCCAGGAGCAGCCAGGTCTTCAGTACTTTTTGAAAGACCAACAAGATCCAGGCCACCTGAATCTCAGGGGATCCACAGGATTCCACAGGCAGATGCCACAACAGACAAAGCATCCTTCCTGGGTCCCATCAGAAGACATTGCTTGATGGGAGAGATCTGGGATGTGGGAACTTCATCAGATCCAGTGAGGTGGGCAGAATGAAGAAGAGGCAGGCAGTCCCCCAAATTATGTTTTTATCTTCTCATTAAGTGAGGCACCAGGAAGTGTCTTTTGAGTCTGACTGTATATAAACACAATCAGTATGCAAGCAAATAAATAAATAAATACATTTTGCTGCAAAGTGAACAAGGCCCAGATAATTCTAAACTGCTGAAGGAGAACTGAGGGGGAGGGAGTCATCAAGTTTAAAATCCCTAATCCAAATATATCTTTCCAGGAAAAACAACACACTGGCTCAGCTACATGGTATTAAATTGGGCAACTACCCCATCACAAAAACATTTTGCCAGGGAAAGTAAAACTATCAGCTCAGCCATAAAATGGTTGAAAAGGCCAAGGCATGTGATCAGCTGGGAAGAGATCCTGGAAGGTGAGCAGAGTTCTGGGAAAGCAAAGAAAGGCTGGGCCTAGAAAGAAACTATGTTCCTGGAATACAGCCTCTTTGTTCTTTCAAAACCGCATGGTCTTTGAAGTCCTGCCCCATCCCCTCTTAATTACACCCTCATGGCCTCATACACCTCGCTAGGCAAATGATATGTTATAATACAATGAAAGATTTACTGCTCTATCCCATGTCCTGGATACTCTAATTTGCATAAGTCTATACAGGTAGTCCTCACTTAATGACCACAATTGAGACTGGAATCTTGATAGTTGAGCAAAAGCAGTCATTAAGCAAGATGCCCACGTGACTGCTTCACTCAATGACCACAATCCGGGCACTCCCAGTTGCGGTCATTAAGCGATCTCCAGGATTTGAGCTCCATTCCTGAAGACTGCCGAGGGGTTTCCCATCCCCTCTGTGCACAGAGGGGAAATCCTTTGTGGGGCTGCAGGAATAGAGCTCAGATCCTGAAGAAGGATTTCAGCTCCCCTCCATCTCCTCCACTTGCAACTTTCCCTGCCAGCTTCCCCACTGACCTTCTGGGGAAAAAAGAATATTGCAAATGCAATCACATTGATCGCGGAGTACTTAGCAACTGGTTGTAAATGTGAGATGGTTGCCAAGCACCTGAAATGCAGTCATGTGACCTGAGGAGGCAGCAGGATGTTTTACGATGGCCAGAAGTTCTTTATGGGCCATAAAGCACCCTTTCCGAGACCATAATTTTGAACCATTGTTAAATAAATGGTGATTAAGCAAGGACTACCTGTAAAGAGGGACTGTAACTGCAACCCTCTTGAGGTGTGTCTCTGCCTCCAGCTATGTCAGTAAACCAATTTGTGCTTCATGCAATGGTGTAGGAAGCCCTAAAGGTGGCCTTGGAGAAACTATTCAGAAACTTACAAAACAAAATGGGTGAAGACATGCTTGGAGTCCAGGAAACAAGAAATACATTGGGAGGAGACTCAAGCTGGCTCCTCCCTGACTCCCTGGGGTATAAGAGGGAGGGAAGAAAAAACACCATCAGATGGGCAAGATTCTGTCATAGTAGCCTAATTCTAAAAAGTATAGCTCTAGTCCAGTGTTTCTCAAACTTGGCAACTTTAAGATGTGTGGACTTCAACTTCCAGAAATTGCTGACTAAGGAATTCTGGGAGTTGAAGTCCACACATCTGAAGTCCACAAGTTGCCAAGTTTGAGAAACACTGTTCTAGTCTGTTTCCTGATCTGGTCAACCTCAAGAGGCTGACAAATTGTCCAGTTCTCTAGTTCAAATGTAGCTCTAAAAAATGCTACTTCTACCTCTATCTTGGAACTAAGATGTTGCTATCTGGGCTTGGAGGATTGAATGATGGTGCCAAGTGAAGAATTTAGGAGGTGGGAAGAGTCTCTGGGGACATGGATGGGGGGCAGCTGGTTCCCTACTCGTTGAGAAGCTCCTGGGCTGCATCTGGAAGGGATCCCTCACCCCAAGACCCTCTCAGTGCAAATCAAGAGCAGGAGGAGGAACCGGGCTGCAATAGTATTTCCTCTTTACTTACCCATCCAGCAGTTGATCCCAGACACCGGAAAAATGACAGCAGCCACAGCCCCCAAGATGATTTCCACATGGAATACCCTGTTGGCTAAAAAAAGAACAAATTCTTCTGTCTTCAGTGCAATTATTGCTCCTCAAACCTTCCTACCAGGATCCTTAGCTCAAGGGCAGAGGCTGGGCACCAAATCTGGCACCTGGCACACACAAGAGATGCTCACTGCCAAACAGCTAACACAACCTCCTCCCCAGCAGCTTCACTTCTGCCCAAGATGGGGAAACCACAACCATGCCTGGTCTTGAACACAGGTGTACATTTCCCACTCTGCATCCCCCAGTGCATTTAAGCAAGGATTAAGGTGATGGAATTGCCCACTTTTCTTCATTCACATGACACAAAACCACAAATTACCTACAGGGCTTGGTTCTCCAGACATGGCTAAGACAACATGTGATTGGTTTAGTTTGTGGCTCAATACATCATCAGACCCAGCCAAGTTTAAGTTGGGGGTGGGAAGAACTAACACCTAGTCGGCCAGTTTTTCCATCTTTCCCCAAGGGTGAAATTCCCCTTCTAGCTGCCTCAATCTCTCACCAGGTTCCTTCATCCAGGCCACGACCAGGGGTTTTACCAGCCCAGCATGCTCCACATGGCACTGGTAGCGGTCCCTCTCCTTGGGGTCAATTTCAATGCTGAGCCAGACATAATAGGTGCCATCTGAACTGGGGACCACATTTCTATGGAAGGTCTTGTACTTGCGGACTTCTCCATCCCTCATCCAGGTGGCACTGATCTCCTTGGGGTAGAAGCCGTAGGGCTGGCAGGTGAGGGCATCCACGTTGTCACTAACTACCTTGTGGGTCACTTTCCCCACTGGGGGCTCTGCAAAAACAGCAAGAACACATCTTACGGGATCTCTCCAAGCACCAACAAGATAATGCTTCTGGAAGAACCTACGTGAAGAATTTTAGATTTCTCAAGTAGGGCGTCTTTCAGAAAAGTGAACTTTGCTGTGGTGGAAAGACAGCTTCATTTTGGTCTTCTGGTATGATGAGCCTTTTGTTTGATTAAGAAGTAGCTCGGAACAAAAGATTCTGCCAAAAACCTCAACTTATTGCATTGCGTTGAAAGTCTTCATTTCTTCCTTATTGTTTCCTGCTTCTCCATTTTGTATACTTTTATATTTTGTAGTAAAGCAAATAAAATACTTTTGTTATTTTAATAAAATGACCTGCTATGAACCTATATAACCTTTTGAATACAAACTTACAGTTGTATTATAGATCAACAACATGTTCTCTTAAAACTGAATTGAAGTTAAGACACTGCCTGTGTTGTCCTTGGCAACTATAGGGAGGTAGTTCACCAATGCTGTCTTCTTCAGGGGTATTTTTTGAGTTGGTTGGGATTTCTTAGTGGTCCCCCATCCAGCTCTAAAAGATCAGGCCCTGCTTTAGATCGGCCAAGATTTACTCTGACTTGCCGTTTAATTAGTTGGAACTGGCCACTGGAGCATAAATCAAATAGGAGGTGCCATTTATGCCGTCCCGTGAGGAAAAAAAAACAAAACAAATCCTGTGAAAAGAGAGTCTAGAGGCATTTTTTTGAAGTGTTAGAAACAAATGTCGAACTTCAGGTATGGCAGAGAGACTGTGGGGCAGCTGGTGAGGGGTCTAGAGGCAGGTGGGGGCCTCAGAGCATCCCCCTGGGGACCCCGGCCCCAAACGAGGCAGATGCGTCCAGCCTCTCGTTCTGGCTTTTTCCTCAGCCTCAGCACACGCGGCCTTTTCCCGCCGTCAGAGGCAGCCCCGCGAAGGAGGTTCTCGGGCAATATTAGTCCACAGGGACGGGATTGAATCCTTTGTTCCACAAACGAGCAGCTTTACAAATGGCGGGCCTTTTCCGCCGTGGCGCCTGCGCTGTGGAACCCCGAGGTTGGCCGCACCATCGTTGAGCACCAGAGGTCCCTTAAGACGTGGTTACGCAGCAGGCCTGGGGACCCCCGGGGGACGGGGGAATTAGTGAGGGGCTCCCTCTTTCGTAACACCCTTTTATTCTCTGGTCTACGTTGGTTTTGATATGTTTAATGTATGTATCGACTGTTTTTAGCTTTGTTGTATGCCGCCCAGAGTCAGCTGTGGTGAGATGGGCGGCTATATAAATTAGTTTAATAGCAATAATAATAAATATACTGAAATGTCCTTTTTAAACTTTTTTTAAACTTTTTAAAATTTTATACTTTGTAATTTGATTACACTTCATTAGCATATGAAATTTGAAAAACTAATATGTAATGGTTTACAATAATATTTCTGATCAAGGGTTTTAAAGTTATTTTGTAGTAACTGTAATCAGGGTGAAGTTATTATAACCCCTGACTCAGAAGCGCCTTCCTGCTCAGCCGGTGATGGACGGGCCAATCGGGTGG